TGCAAACAAGCATCTCGATCGAGACTTCCTCAACACCTCCTCATTCTAGACATCCGCCTGGGCGATGAGGACGCGTGAAACCAAGCGTCTCGCTCGAGACATCCTCAACAATTCCTGGCGCTTGACCTCTGCCTGGGCAACCTGGAGGCGTGAAACCAAGCGTCTCGCTCGAGACATCCTCAAGACCTGGGCACGTGAAACCAAGCATTTCACTTGAGAGATCCTCTAAATTCTGGTTCCCAGGAGAGGACAATCTATAACACAAAACAAGCGTTTCGCTCGAGACATCCTCAACAAATTCTGAAAAACGAGCGCTTCGCTAGGGACATCCTCAAATTTTAATTCGCCGGCCCTACGCGACCGCGTTATTTATCGCAAAAGAAATTCGCCGGCCCTACAACCGTCAGATCCGGGGGCAAACCCCTAAAAGGGAACCCTGGGCCCGAAGCCCTTTCCGGGAAAAACAAACAGGCCCCGACACTGGTTCACGGCGGCGCCCAAACCTCATGATTTTGCTTTTGCATCTCCCATTATCCGAGACAGGGGGCCGGCGGCATGGAGAGAAGCCCTTACGGATAAATTCGACCAGGCGCCGACGCGCGTGTTCAATACCTGTACGACCACCCTTCGGGTGATAAGGAGGTTCGGGGGGGGGGGGAACCAACGTCTCATTCGATCGGTGTCACTATCGATCTCACTATGGATCTCACTGTCGGTCTCGCTCGATCGTTCGCACTATCGATCACACAGTCGATGTCGCTGGATCCATTTCATTCGATCGATCTCACAATCGATCTGACTATCGATCTCACAATCGATCTCACTATCGATCTCACAATCGATCTCACATTCGGTCTCACTGTCGACCACACTATCGATACCACAATCGATCTCACAATCAACGTCATCATCATCATCAGCATCGTCATCATCATCCTTAACATCATCACCGGGCCCCCATCATCAGCATCACATCATTACCATCATCATCATCAGCAACATCATCATCAGCATCATCATCATCGGGGCACCATCATCGTCACCATCATCATCATCAAAATCATCATCATCGGGACGCCAGCACCATCACCATCGGAACACAACCAAAATCAGCATCACCATATCATCATCATCATCATCATCATCATCACCATCATCATCGCCATCATCATCATCATCATCATCATCGGGACACCATCATCATCAACATCAACACCATCGGGGCAACATCATGTTCACCAACAGCATCATCATAATCATCAACAGCATCATCATCATCGGGACACCATCATCATCGTCACCATCAGCATCGCCATCATCATCATCATCATCGGAACACCATCATCATCAACATCAGCACCATTATCATCACCATCATCGTGCCACCATCATCCAAATCATCAGTATCACCTCATCATCAACATCATCAACATCATCGCCATCATCATCATCATCGGGACAACATCATCGTCATAATCATCGTTTACATCATCATCAACATCATCATCATCGGGACACCATCATCATCATAATCATGCACAGCATCATCATCAACCTCATCATCACCGTCATCATCATCAACATCGTCAACATCATCATCATCATCAGCATCATCATCAACAACAACATCATCAGGGTCATCAACATCATCCTCATCATCATCGGGACATCATCATCATCATCATCAGTCATCAGCAACATCATCATCATCAACATCATCGTCATCATCGGGACACTATCGTTACTACCACCATCACCATTCTCACGATCATCATCATCAACATCGTCAACATCATCATCATCATCATCACCATCGTCATCATCATCACCATCACCATCGTCATCGGAACACCATCATCATCAACATCATCGACATCATCATCATCATCATCATCATCATCATCATCATCATCATCATCATCATCATCATCACCGTCATCATCGGGACACCGACGGAACACGAAGGATCGGGGAACACGGTAAATACAAGAGCAGGAAAGACAAAGATGGCAAGGGGGAGGAGGCGCAGGCGAGACGATGAGAAGGAGGAGGGCGAATCGGGGCCCGCTCGGATGCTCTTGGTTCCCATCTTGTTTTTCAAATAGGACCGCTGAGTTGAAGCGTCGCAGTCCAGATGCATCCCAGAGCACTGGAGGAGGGAGAAGAGAAACGGGAAGAGCCAGGGAGGGTCAGGAGAAGGGAGAGGAGAGATCTGAGGGATCTGATGAGTCCAGCCGTTCATGGGCTGCTGGCACACAGGCCAAGACACCCCCTCTACGGGAGCATCAGAGCCGAGCCATATGATGGCCCAGCGGCGAAAGGCCATGGAAGGACTGGCCAAGCTTGGTGCTGGCATATTACTGACCACTCCCGCGAACGTGACGCGACGCCCCATGACTTCCGAACCCACCGGCCTTGAAGGCGAAATGATCTCATTTTTGTTTTTTGCGCAAAGGCAAGGCGCGGTGCAGCAGCAGTGGTCTGGCTGATGGGGCAACGTCGGGCCTCCCCTCCGACGAAGCGCCACACAGCATCTAAGGCAAGGAAAAACCGCATACCCCTTTGGGTGACTAGCGTACGAAATCACTTCCTCACAAAATCCCATCGGCAAAGGACGGGCGGCTCGCCTCATGCAGTGCCCAGCTAAGTACCCTCGCCCGTTTGACAAGTGGCCCCGATTGACATAGTTGCCACTGGCAACAAGGAGGGTTCCAGTCTCCCCGAGTCTGGCAACAAGGAGGGTTCCAGTCTCCTCGAGTCTGGCAACAAGGAGGGTTCCAGTCTCCGCGAGTCTGGCAATAAGGAGGTCTGGCAAGTGGCACAAATTGTCGAATGGGTCATCGGCGACAGCATTGACAGGACATCTCTGAGCCCAGAAAGGGGAGATCTCGGGCGACATTGGTTGAACCACCTCAGGTGTGGGCATCCCCGAAAATACACCTCCGACGATGTCCCAGGCAGAAAGGACCGCGACCACGTGAGATGAGGACATAAGTGCATGAACCCAGAGTTCAAGGAGATCTCAAGCGAAACGATCAGTCCACGGCAGCTGCAAACCCAGAACAACGAGGAAACGGGATCGGATACCGTGAGGCAAGAGCATCGACTGACCCAGAATAACGAGGATGCATCGGGCGAATATGGCTGGACGACCTTAGGCCAGGTCATATCCGAGCCCAGAGTTGTGACGAAGTGTGAAGCGAAACTGGCTGGACCAGCTCAGGTCAGGGCATCCATGGGCCCTGAGTTGCGAGTGTGTGTGTGGGGGGGAAGCTGGATGGTCCTATCGCGTGCCTCGAAGCCTACAACTGCGAGGATGTCTCAAGCCAAAAGAGCTGGACCGCCTCAGGACAGCGACGAGGATGTCTAAGCGGAATGGGCTGGACTATCTCTCGCGCGGCATCTCGAAGCCCGCACTTGCAGGGATGTCTCAGGCGAGACCGACCGGAGCGCCTCGCAGGCGGCATCCCAAGGCCCGAAATAACGATGATGGCTTCGTCGAAACCGACCTGGACGACTTCTCGAATGGGGTAAACTAGATCCCCCCCCCTCCTCCTGGGCAGGAGATGGTCAATCGCGATTCCTTGTCCAACCCCATGTTTCCCCTTCGGAGATGGGGTCATCGCTGCTCCTGGATAATATTTGCCTCCTAACCCAATCCACCGACCGCTAACCCGAGTCACTGCCACCCCCTACGATTCCAACCAAAAACAACTTGAAATACCCTCAGGCGGCTCCCCCATTGGAGCTCGGAAATGCGATGCGATCCGTCAGAACCATGATCATCAGATTTTCATGGTTATGTAGATCCGCCACCGTGCCTCTGGGCACGGAGTGGGCGCGCTCCAGGTCCTTCCATCATCCTCTCAACCTCAGTCCTCATTATTGAGGAGTCGTTCAGAGACCCAGACCCCACATTGCGAAATCTTCTCCTGGGGCTTCTCGCGGTTTCTCGCGCGACTGTTCCGGAACAGCGGGGGCCTACGCCCTACATGGCTTCATGATGGCCCAAAAGGCCTCCAAGATGCCCCAAGAGGCCTCGAAGATGCCTCCCAAGAGAACCCTGAGAGGCAAAAACCATTGACTTGCCTTCGTTGCTTAAAAAATGTTGGCGTTCTCGCCTGTTTCCTTTCCGACGCTCCCGGACGGCCCGAGGTCCCCAATACCACCCCACGAGTGCCCAAGAGGCATCCAAGAGGGCCCCAGGAGCCCCAAGAGGCACCCAAGAGGCCTGAAGAGGCTCCAAGAGGCCCCCAAGGGACCCAACAGCGACCCCAAGAGGCTCCAAAACTGCCCCGAAGAGGCATCAAAACTGCATCCAAGTGGCCGCAAAACTGACCCCAGGAGGCCTCAACAAAAAGGTCCACCACGAAATCCCAACGAACATCCAATAGGCTTCATACCTACAACCTAGGCACAGTGGCGGGAAGGCCATTCGATAGAGAGGAGTCCGAGGTGCAACAGAGAATCATGAGTCCAGAGGGCGAGGCTCAGGCCTGGGTGTCTCACCTGAACCCTTCCTGTCGTACTCGGAAAGGCACCCGACAACAAACGAATCAAACATACGTCGCTCAATTGGGGTCGGCGGCAGAAGCGGCAGCCTTTAGATATACCGCCTCCTCCACCCGACTGGAGGCAAACTCGGAACCATGACGATCCCCCCCCCAACCCCCCCGTGTCATCCACGTCACCAAGAAATGCAAAACACAACATGCGCCAACATCTGTTTCATTCCCCAGAACATAGCGAGCACTGGGCATTCATGTGTGACATGTAGTGTCTAGGTGCTGGCAAATTGTCTGCTGCGGGCAAACCCACGCTGTCAGATTCTGGATCATGCGCGGGTACCACGCGATAGCTTTGCGTTGGCTTTTGACCTGAAAGGGAGGGAAGCGGCATACACAGGGGAACACAACCTGGATAACATCGAGAGGGCCCGCGATCACTCTGCATTGGTTCTTGACAGGCATGACAGGGGTGTCACATATCCGAACACTCGCCTAAACATTAGTGTCATGATGAGCTGGTGCATCCTGCCCATCACCCAGCAATCGTTGACAAAGCCTCCCGCGACCATGACAATCAACGGGATCCCACCTCGTGAACCATCATGGGCGCCCGCGCCTTGCACACTCGAGAGGAACCCACTCTGTCCAATGCATGCTCAGCAATCTGCTTGAGGGGGATCCCACCTCACAAACCATTGTTGGGCATCGGAGCCCCAGGCTGGGATGCTGCAGATGTGTCGGAATGGCGGGCGGGCGTGAACGAGACGGCACGCGCCTTTCAGGGGGTAGCTTGACCCCGTCCCATGCCCCCTCCCCCTGGTGTGAACGGGGAAAATGGGCGGGGACGCGTGAGAGTGCCCAAGATGGCCCAGAATGGCTCCACAATGGCCTGGGGGGCCCAAGATTACCTCCAAGATGGCACACGGTAGCCCAGGCCGGCAAACAACATGCTTCCAAGAGGTCCCAAGACTGCCCCAGGACGGCTCCAAGTGGCCGCGGATCCTCATAAGGAGACAGCCGACCCACCACACTCATTCAGACATGCTGTGTGCTTCGTTGTGTGTTGCTGTCGCGCCAGTGTGCTTCCGACCCGATGGGTCCAAGAGTGCCCCAAGAGGGGCCAGTATTGGCTACAAGACTGCCTCAGTAGCACCCAAGAGCGCCCAAAGAGCGCTCACAGAGGCTGTTGTCCATGCCCAATATCAATGTATTGCCCCCCACTAAATTGATCGGCTGTCACAGCATGGTCCCCACAGCGCCCACGATTACCCCAAGCGGGCTCCTCCGAAAACTTCCGAATCGCCTAGCGGTAGGGGATATGCGACGCGTCAAACATTGTAGATGATTGCGCTACGCAGCGCCCTATGTGAGAACGCATCGTGCAGGTAGCGAGCAAGATGGTGGTGGCAATGAAGTGTCACAACTTCGTTCACGATGTGCCGAACATGCGTTCTTATGACAACCTCCTGTCTACAAAGCCGTCACCGCTTGTTCCTAAACGCCCGCAATATGCGCACGCAAGCACCCCCAAACCTGCCAACTATGCTACGCCTTTGGCCCGACGGCGTGGCCGAGCCGCGTGATATCTCAGATGCTCTATGTATGGCCTTCCTGGAGCCACTCGCTCAACGCATGCGTCGATTCAACGTCGAACGTCCGTCGACTTGGCTTGAACTCGAGTCGACCTTGAGTCACACTATAATCGAATAGATCCGTTGGGAGGGCACCCGCAATGCCCCCAATATGGGTATCCAACCGATGTATATATCTATGTATGTATGTATATATATATATAATAGCACACCGCAGTTGCGGATAAGAGTGAAGGGGTGGGCGCGGGCGACGCGGGCATCGAGCCGGCGGACCTCGTTGCCCTCACCTTCCTTGTCGATGGCGCCCTCCTCCTCCTCCTCCTCCTCCTTTTCCTCCTCCTCCTCCTCCTGCTCCTCCTCCACCTGGAAGGAATTCAAAAACAGCCCGCCGCAGGCGCCGAAGATTTTGATTTGTACACTGAACGCGGATTGGGTCGCAGGTTCTCCACCTGGAGCGAATGCCAAAGAAACCAGCCGCAGGCGCCGAACTTTTGGCTTGTTCAGTGAACGTAGTTTGGGTCGCGGGTGGGTCGCGGGCTCTCCACCTCCACCTGGAAGGAATTCAAAAGCAGCCCGCAGCAGTCGCCGATCATTTTGATTTGTACACTGGGCGCGGTTTGGGTCGCGGGTGGGTCGCAAAGTTCTCCACCTGGAACGAATGCAAAAGAAGCCCGCCGCAGGTGCCGAAAAATTTTGGGTGGGTCGCGGGGTGGGTCGCGGGTGGGTCGCGTGTGGGTCGCGGTGGGTCGCAGGCGCGGTTTGTGTCGCGGGTGGGTCGCATATTCTCCACCTGGAACGACTGCAAATAAACCCGCCGCAAGCGCCGAAAATTCTGGGTGGGTCGCGGGGTGGGTCGCGGGTGGGTCGCGGGTTGGTCGCGGTGGGTCGCGGGTGGGTCGCGGGTGGGTCGCGGGTGGGTCGCGGGCTGGGTCGCGGGGTGGGTCGCGGGTGGGTCGCGGGTGGGTCGCGGGGTGGGTCGCGGGCGGGTCGCGGGGCGGGTCACGTGTGGGACGACGACAACAAACAACAAACAACAAACAGCAAACACAACAACATCAACAACAACAACAACAACAACAACAACAACAACAACAACAACAATAACAACAACAATAATCCGCATCGCGGAATTCCACTTCAGCCACGCACCCTAGGACAGTGAATGACCATTCGGTTCAGCCTCCTCACTCTGATATATATATATATATATATATATATATATATATATATACTGTTTTACGGAGGCGTACGTCCACGCCAGTGGTCAAGTTAGCCCGACACGTGACCTTTACTTTCAGGACCTTGCACACCGCCCCCCAGCACACTGGCCGAAGGTTCCACTGCGCCCACAGCCCGCGGGGCCGCTCGGGACCCACAAACGCGGGCCCGAATCACGGAGGGACAGGCCAGCACCGAGACACGGTGCACCTCCGAACAGGACGGGCAGCCAAGGGACCTCCCGAGGTCCCGAGGCACCCATCCCGTGGGAGGCCGACCACAGGTCCCACACAGACACCCTCGGCCACGCGCTGGAACGTGCGGCACCAGAAAGGCACACCCTGAAGGTCACCAGCTAACTCCCCTGGGCTAGGGCACCAATCTGGAGTAGCTGGGGGCATCTATACAGAACTGTCTCCTCGTGCAGGGGCCGCGACGCGGCCCTGGACGACAGGGAGGTAGCGGGTGGGAGCCTTGGAAAGAGGCTACGGAAGGAGACGGCGTTCAACGATGCCCCCAAACAGTATTGCCTTACACAAGCGTAAACGGTCATACTGTTTTACGGAGGCGTACGTCCACGCCAGTGGTCAAGTTAGCCCGACACGTGACCTATACTTTCAGGACCTTGCACACCGCCCCCCCAGCACACTGGCCGAAGGTTCCACTGCGCCCACAGCCCGCGGGGCCGCTCGGGACCCACAAACGCGGGCCCGAATCACGGAGGGACAGGCCAGCACCGAGACACGGTGCACCTCCGAACAGGACGGGCAGCCAAGGGACCTCCCGAGGTCCCGAGGCACCCATCCCGTGGGAGGCCGACCACAGGTCCCACACAGACACCCTCGGCCACGCGCTGGAACGTGCGGCACCAGAAAGGCACACCCTGAAGGTCACCAGCTAACTCCCCACATCTCCAACCTTGGCGCCCACGCCGTCTAAGAGAAACTATTCTAAAAACTCTACAATCGTGAGGCTAACTTCCAGTCACCGCCTAGACTTAGGCATGGAAAGTCAGCGAAGCTGAGAGATATGTACACACAACCATGCAATGGGCACAAAGAGGGACGGCTGGATAGGGAATAGAAGATGCACATTCAACGCTCACAAACTGACAAATTCACGGAGAATCTCGAGCCCGCATTGAACATTTGAACACTGTTCATCTTGCGGCCTGACCTTCACTAGGTCAGCAACTGCATCTTCAATATAAATTCTCGCAGTCAAAGTGCTGGCCCAGCGGCCTTTGACGAGTGTCTGCTCCATCGAGCTGGAGCGGCAGAAAAAGTCACTTGCTCCGCCTCGTCGGCAACTGTGCCAGCTGAAAAGGCCTCGAAAGCCGAGCGCCTCGGCCAAGCGCTGCAATCCTGCCTTCAGCTGGTTCGGCGATCTGGGCGAAAGCCTGTCTGAAGGCCCGAGATTGGCCACGACCAGCCGCAGCAGCCGCACGCAGGCCTTAGACCGCACCACCACGGCCTCAGCTGCATCCTTGCCCGCCGTGGTCTTACTGCTGCCAATGCGGATGACCATACACGATCCACGATCATGAACATCGCCTGCAGTGAGGCTGAAAGCTTCCCCTCCTCGCAGCATCGCTTCAAAGCTGACGAGAAGAAGGCAGGCGAAGTCGAAGGCGCCTGCTGCGATGGCGTAGCCCGCCATGCCGCCGACCAGCTCCGCGGTCAGCGGGAGCACGCGCGCCGCTGGCTCTTGGCGGCGCCACGTCCGCAGCAGTGACCAGGACAAGTCGAGCTTCCTGCGCAAAGACGGGCAGAGGAAGGCCACACCTGCGATGGTGTTGCTCGCAGCCGCAATGCCAGCGCCCTCGGCCCAGAGCTTCTCGAGGAAGCCCGCGACCAAGCCGTCTGCATCGTCCATGGCCAGTGCGAGCGCGGGCGCGCCACTCTCCTCAGCGCCGTAGTAGTGCAAGAGCCTGCGGACCGCAACGGCGTACCGCCTGCGGGTCGCCACCCCGACGCGGAGCGACGAGAGGGTGTGGGCGCGCGGGTCACGCCGCCTCACAGGCGGCCTGCACGGGCGGCCTTGCGCACCAAGGGCGCGCGACTGCCGCGCCCCCTGAGCCGCGAGCCACGCCACAGCTTTCTCGATGGCTCGTCGGCCGGATTGTTCTCTGACGCGATGTACCCGATCAGCGGGTACATGTCGGCCGCGACCGCGACCGCTGCCCAGCGCCGGAGCATCGGCTGCAAGCGAGCGCTGCTGCTCCGGCCTTTCGTGATGATGGCCGCGACGACCTGGCTGTCCACGAGGTGGAGCCAGCGGCTGCAGTGGCGGCGAGCGGCACGAGCCCGCCACCGAAGCGCCGCGAGCGCGGCCTGCAGCTCCCTGACGTTGATGTGCGCCTGCTGCCGCTTGGGCCAAGCTATACTCAGCACGACTCGCCACTTCCACACGAACGGGTCGAGCGACGATCTGGGCCACCCCTTCGGTCGGTACGGCAGGTTCACGTCGAGACGCACATCGCTCCCGCCCTTCTCGGACCTGGCCAGGTAGCTGAGGAGCAAGAGACGGCTGGCTTCGGTCTCTGGCTCCCCCGCGTCGCTCTCGAAGCGGCCCGCTTCGTCCCACGACGGCGTGCATTCGCCGACGTGCCCAAGCTCCTGCATGGACAGTGGGCGCGTCACGGCCCCCAGGTTCAGCAAGAGCCACTGCAGCAGCCAAGCGACCGAGAACACATTGAAGCTGTTGCCCAGTAGGAAGGACCTGGCGTCGTCGCTATCCTGCTGGTTCGAGCCCTTCGTGGCTACAGCCGTGTAACGCACGTCGAATCCCATCATCCTCTCCCGCTCGGAGCTCGAAGGGACTCGCAAGGATCCGTCGCTGTCCTGCAAGAGGTTTTTCTCTTCGTAGAGCGCAACATGGTAGCGATACGAATCCGACTGCCAGCGAGCGAGCGCCTCGGGCGAAGCACTCTTCACCCCGCGCGGCGCTGAAGGGTAGCCCCGCTGAGGCCTGCTGCACACGAGGGTGGGGTAAGGCCCAGGCTCGCCCAGCCAGCGCGCGCCAGGATCCCGCCAATCGAAATTCAACAGGGGCGGCTCATTGCAGCTGACCACGAACATATCCTCGCGCTCCTGGAGGACCAGCGGCGGGGTCGGGCGGACGCTCCAGCTCAGCCAATACAGCCGCGGTCTCCTGCAGGGCACCAGGGCCGAGGTGCACAGAAACACGGGCTTGACGCCGAGGGCCTGGTTCATGCCACGCAGGCTGCTGGACGTCATGCCCGCGACGTTCTCCACGAACCACCTGAAACTCGCCCCGAAAGCGTCTGACAGCAGCCCGAAGATGCGCGGCACCTCGAAGAAGACCGAAGACTTCGGGTCGGCCAGGCCTCGCCCAGCAGCGTTTAGCCCCGTGAGCCCCTGGCACGGGCTGCCTGCGCCCGCGACCACAAGGTCGACCTCGGACTGGTAGGCGATCCTCAAGTCCTCCACCGTCTGGGCGGTCACGGTCCTGACGTCGCCCCAGTCGATGGCGCCTGGCCACCTGAGCCGTACGACCCTCCTGGCCTTGGCGTCTGTCTCGGCGCTCGCGTACCCGACGATGCGCACGGGCAGGCGCGAGAGCGCGACCGCCAACCCGCCGATGCCGTCGAACAGCCCGATGCAGAGGACTCTGAGGATTCGGGCGACGATGGCCCGCGGGATCCGCGGATTGCTGCGAGTCCAGGGCGCCCGCGGATCGACGGGCAGGCCGAGGACCCTCGCCCCAGCGCCCAGCTGAGCGCCAGGCTCGCCGGCGGCGAGGATAGTCGCCTCCGCCTGCTCGTGGAGGCCCGTCGACACGCAGACTCCCCCCCCGAACTCGGACGCGTCTGAACACGACGCCATCCCTTCGAGGCGGCTCCTCAACGAAGTAGCGGCGAGCGGGACCACGAGGAGCGCCGTCATCAGCTCCTCCCTCATTTCCCGCGTCAGGTAGACCTTCGCCCGCGGCTCCGAAAGCCTCCACACTGCATTCAAGATGCTGAGCAAGGGCCGCCGAAACTCGAAGACCCTGACAATGCGGCCGAGCACAGTCATGGCCAGCCTCCACGGGACCAAGTCCAGGCCGAGCGTCGCGATGGCGAGAGCGCAGGCGGACAACGCCTTGCTGAGGGGGGCGCCGATCCGCCCTGTGACGCCGTCAACGGAAGCCCCCATCCTCTCAACGCGAAGCTGGCGGAGGTGCGCCTTGTCGGAGGAGATCGCCACCTGCGCACGCTCGTAGCTGGCACGGGCCGCGGCCTGCAACTCTGCCTGGCTACCAAGAAGCTCTAGCGCCGCGGCCTCCTCGATGATCTCGGGGGCGTCGAAGTCGTCGATGTATACCTGCCACCAAGATGCAAGGACGGGACCCTGCTTAGCAAAAGCGAGCGGCCGCACCGTGTCCTTCCGCCATTCTGCCTCTGGCGGTAGGCCCGCTCCAAGCGGGGGAGGAAGCCGACACAATCGCCGATGTATGTGCTGGAACAGCGGCACGGCGAGCATCCAACCCATCGAGATGACCGCTGAGGCGACGAAGACCCGCGGCGCCGCGCGCCCAAACAGGTCGCCGCGCAGCGCCTTGCCCACCGCCATGTGAGCATGCCAGCAGCGCGGGATCCGCCACACAAAGAAGGCCCCCTTCTGGTCATCGCCAGACCACAGCAGCAGGGAGCCCTCGGGCAGGTGAAGGGTCGTCCAGCCCGTCGACGCCGCGAGTGTAGACGCCTCACCGACGAACGGCTTGAGGAGCGAGTTGCCTGGGACCATGTTCAGGATGAGCCTGGTGACCCGCTCGGCCCCTGGCCCAGGCGCTCCCTTCTTCTCGACTGCGAAGAGGCCGTTGAGGAGCGGAGCGCCCCGCACCTGAAACACCTCATGCGGCTCAAGCACCGTAAAGATGCCCAGCTCCACCAAGTGCACCGCGAGGGCCTCCCAGTCGCTGTCAGAGGTGACGTTGACCCGCGCCCTCGGGAGCGGGTTGGGCCACTCGGCCTCGGGCTTCAGCGCCACCGAGGGGTCGTTCAGCCAGGCGCCAATGTCCGCATCCACGAACTCGCACGCGTCCAAGGCGCCTGCGTGCTCGGGCTGCGGCAAGCCCGGCTTCAGCTCCGCGAGCACGCACGGGAGTGCCTTGACCGCGGGCCCCCCGCTGTAGTCGATGGCAGCGTGCTGGAGGGCGGACGACAGCGCGGGCACCTCCACGCTCGCGAAGGGGTCCTCCGCAAAGACCTCAGCCCGCGACAGGAGGTGCGCCATGGCCTGCCGCTGCGCCAGCGTGAGGGACCCCTCGTGCTGCCAAGTGGCGGTCGCCCGCCCGCAGTACATGCGGTTCAGGCCAAGCACCTCCATGTAAAGCCAGCACTCCATCATGACGGACCTGGCCACTCCTGCGAGACGGCACCTGCTGCTGCGAGGGCCGCATCGGCTGCGAATCCATCGCCTCGCCAGGGAGAGAGAGGGCAGGGGCAGCGGGAGGACGTCACGTCCCCGCACCCCGCTCCCCCGCCTTGTGGACGTACGCATCGTGAACTCCCTGGCGAAGGCGCCCAGACCCCCAGGGTCCGTGATGGTAAGGCCCAGCAGGGTGACCGACAAGTCCACGGCAGTGAGGCTCGACCCAAAGCCGACCGTGACCACGCGCTGCCAGTCATGGAAGTCCGAAGCGGTGAACGAGTCCTCGCCCGCTGAGAAATCCGACCAAAGCTCGGCAACAGAGAGCTGCCCCCCCCGCGGCGTCGCCTCATCCCGCGCCAGGGCTCCTGCCGCCTCTGCCTCGCCGCAGGACCAGCGCCCAGCAACACCCCCAGGCCCAGCGCGCAGCAACTCGCTGGCGCTCGGGGGGCTTGGAGGGGCCTCGGCCGCGCCGACTAGGCCATCGGCCGCTGCGCCGCCCCCAGAGGCGCCCGCGCAGGCCAGGCGCCCCCCAAGAGCGCTTGCTGCGGGCAGCGAGGCGACCGCTACCGCAGCGTCGGCACCAGGCTCCGCAGGCGGGCATCGTACGCCTTCACCGACTCGCCAGCCTTCTTCGGGTACTTCGCCTTGGCGTCCTTCCAGGGCCGCGCCAACGCGACCGCACGGGCTGGGGCTGCCGACCTGTCCGCCAGCATGCGGTCGGCCTCCGCGGAGCCCGCGGCCGCTGGCTGCCTCTGCGCCGGGGCCTGCGCTGCGGCAGGGGGTATCCCCCCTGCGCGGCCTGCAGGGCGAGTGGGCAACGCCGAACCCACCTCGCCCCGGCCGACCTGCTAGCCCTGAGGCTTCTGCCGCAGCCGCGAGGCGAGCTCCTCCAGCTTGAGCTCCCCGTGCTGGATGCTCCTGATCATCTCCTCCTCCTCGTTGCGTAGCGCGAGAGGCTGGTCCCGCGGCGGTATCAGCTCGAGCCACTTCGCCGCCGACCAGCTCCCGTCGCCGACCGCCACCTGGATGGCCTTGAAGCGCTGGGCCAGGATGTCGGCCACCGCGGCCGTGCGGCCCTGCAGCAACAGGTCCAGCGCCTCCGCGATCGTCCGCAACTCGCGGTAGATCTCGCCCCCTATCTCCTTCACCGGATGCTGCGGCAAGTAGACCGACAGGAGGAATCGAAGGACGATCGGGCCATGCGGATCGACCGACCCGCCGCCGTCTTGCGACCCCAAGAACTCTGCCATCTGCGCCAGGCTCAGCTCCGCGAGTCTCCCTGGGTGCTCCAGGGCCAACCTCCTGCAGTGGGCCCGACGAGACGCAAGGCCCTTCGGCAGCAAGTCGCCCTCGGCGGTGGCGACACCACCATCGCCGCCGAAGGACGGGTCCTCGGACGACCTGGTCGCGCTCTGCAGCGCCTTGAGGAGGGCCGTCAGCAGCTCCTGCACGCCAGCTCCGCCCTGACCAACGGCGGGGGCGGCCGCCTCTGCTCCCTTGGCGTCCTCGGCCGATGCAGCTGCTCCGACCTTCGCCGCCTTCCGCACGCGGTCCTCGAGGACCTCGGCAAGCGACCGCTGCGGTGGCGGCCCGCCCTGCCGCGGAATCTTCGCCGGCGGCTCGTCGTCCAGGGCAGCGACCGCCTCCGCAGCCCCCGCAGCGGCCCGCCGCTGCTGCTGAAGCCGAGCGAAGCGGTCCTGCGCCGCCTCCAGCTTCCCGCGGAGGCTGGCACGGCGGCCGCGCCTATCCGCCTCGACCACGTCGCCGCCCCAGAGCTCGTCCAGTCCTGGCTGCTCCGACGGAGCCGGCGTCCTGGCAGGCGCCTCCCCAGGCACCCCTCCAGTGAGCCGCGGCCCGAAGAGGTCGGCGGGCCAGACCGCGTCTGGGTTGTCCGAGAGGAACGCCGCGAAGACCTCCCGCAGCTCGTCGGCCGAGACGGCGGTCGCGTCTGTGATGTGCACCAGCTCCGAGCAACCCCGCGGCGGCTGGACCTGGCACGGCTGCGTCCGGCACACGTGGACGAGGGGCCGCGCAGTCACGGCCCCGCGCTCGCCTGGGTTCGACGCCCACCAGTCCCAGTACGGGTCGTCTGAGAAGAGGAACCTCGGCCTGGCGTACGTCTCGACTCCGACCGAGAGGCGAAGGGCGACCCAAGTGAAGCGGCACTGGATGTCGCCCTGGGCATTGTAGCCCGTCGACGAATACGCCTGGCCCTCGACGAGCCGCAGCTCCTCGGCGGGGGCAGGAGGCAGTCCACCGCCCTCCCCGTCCAGCTCGTCGCCCGACGGGGTGTACAGCTGCGCGCTCCCGTCCAGCTCCTCGTCCTGATCTCCGGCCATGAGAGGGCGCTTGCGCACCCAGCGCCGTCGCCCTCCTGGGAGTCCCCCCCGACCTGGGGCGGACCAGGTCGGAGCCGAAGAGATGCAAACGAGGACCTCGGGCGAGCACCAATGCACTGAGGTGTCGGCTCGCCCGAGGCCCCCAACCCTGCAAGCCTTGGAAAGAGGCTACGGAAGGAGACGGCGTTCAACGATGCCCCCAAACAGTATTGCCTTACACAAGCGTAAACGGTCATATATATATATATATATATATATATATAAAGACTAGAACCATCACGCGCGCTTCGCGCGCGTGATGGTTCTAGCAGGCCCCAGGCCTTGACGAATTCACTGCTGCACTGAAGTAGTGGACCACAGTACACGCATGCCAATCTGCATTCTGAAAGGCCTTCGAGGAAAATGGTTGTGTAGGGGGGCGGAGGCCGTATGAATCGGGTTCCCAGAAGGCCCTCTGGGAGCATGGGTTTGGGGGCGTCTTGGGTAGCCTGTCGGGGCGTGCCGTCGTCGTCATCGTCGTCGTAATGTCGTCGTCGCCTATTGGGGCGCGCAGTCGTCGTCGTCGTCGTCGTCGTCGTCGTCGTCGTCGTCGTCGTCGTCGTCGTCGTCGTCGTCGTCGTCGTCGTCGTCGTCGTCGTCGTCGTCGTCGTCGTCGTCGTCGTCGTCGTCGTCGTCGTCGTCGTCGTCGTCGTCGTCGTCGTCGTCGTCGTCGTCGTCGTCGTCGTCGTCGTCGTCGTCGTCGTCGTCGTCGTCGGTTCAAGAGGGCACTTGGGGCAACTTTGTGCGAAACGATCTGCGGAGGGCCGCGAGAAGGCGATCAGTCATGTTCCCAATCAACTTCCCAGACAGCTCTCCTGTAGCATGATGGTACTTCGAAGCCTCCGGAGACTCGCGGGCCCATGATGAACCATGTCCCCGGAAGGCTTTCTGGGGACATGGTTTGTTGGGGTGTGTTGGGGGGTCTCTTGGGCGTTCCCTGGGGGCCCCTTGGGGGCCTCCGGGAACTCTCGGGCCCATGATGAACCATGTCCTCGGAAGGTTTTCTGGGACATGAGTTCTTGGGGTGTGTTGGGGGGCCTCTTGGGCGTTCCCTGGGAGCCCCTTGGGGGTCTCTTGGGGCTTCCTGGGGGCCTCTTGGGCGCCTCACGGGGCTTCGTGGGAGCCTCTTGGTGGCCTCCGGAGGCCTACAGGCGGCCTCTAGGGCCAGAGACCTCGAATTATCGGTTGGCGGTCCCCCTCTGGGCCCTCTCTTGGGGAGCTCTTGGGGCACACTTGGGTTGTCTGGGGAGCATCCTGGGCCGTCTCGGGGCCCTCGTCGGGGCCTCGTGGACCTTCTTGGAGCGATCTGAAGGGTCTCCGAGGCCGTGGAAGGAGCGCTGGGAAGCGGGGAAAGCGAGAACGCCAAAATCCAAAACACTCGCAAAACGAGTGAATCTTGCAATCCAGGGCCCTTTTGGGGAGCCTCTTGAGTTCGTCCTGGAGCGTGGTGGAGTCCTCGTCGGCCGTCTCGAGGGCAGCTTGGGCGTCTTCGGAGCCTCTTGGGACCGTCTTGGGCCCTCTCGGGACCTCCATTAGCCTGTCGTGGCCTGCTTCGGGGCGGGCTCGGGCCGCCTCGGGACCCCTCTGGGCCTTCTCTTGGCGCGCTCTTGGGGCACACTTGGGTTGTCTGGGGAGCATCCTGGGCCGTCTCGGGGCCCTCGTCGGGGCCTCGTGGACCTTCTTGGAGCGATCTGAAGGGTCTCCGAGGCCGTGGAAGGAGCGCTGGGAAGCGGGGAAAGCGAGAACGCCAAAATCCAAAACACTCGCAAAACGAGTGAATCTTGCAATCCAGGGCCCTTTTGGGGAGCCTCTTGAGTCCGTCCTGGAGCGTGTTGGAGTCCTCGTCGGCCGTCTTGAGGGCATCTTGGGCGTCTTCGGGGCCCGTGGGACCGTCTTGGGCCCTCTCGGGACCCCCTCAGCCTGTCGTGGCCTGCTTCGGGGCGGGCTCGGGCCGCATTGGGAGCTCTGGCCCCCCCCCCCCGCAACCCCTGGTGGGCACCGATGGGGGGAACAGGCAACGGCCCGCCCCCCCCCCTGGGCCCACTCCGAGATAGAGAATCATGCTCCCGGGAAGCTTTCCGGGAACATGATTTGTTCGGCTCTCTAAGAGGGGGGCCTCTGGGGGCGCGCCTTTTGGCCTTGTCGGCAAGCCTATTGGAAACATGGTTGGGGCGGTGGGCGGAAGCCCAAGGAATCATGTTCCCAGAAAGCCATCTGGGAAATCCGCCGACCCTGTCGGCGTGTGCGAGGGGCTTGGCTGTTCGAGTCGTCGTCTAAGTCGGTCGTCGCCTCCGTCGTCCCCTTTCCCTGCAGCTTCCTTCTCAAGCTCGTGAGCGAGAGAAAAATCTAGCAGTGTCGTAATCGAGTCGAAGGGAAGCCCCTTCCCTTCGATCCCTTCCCCAGGGGGGGGGGTCCGGGGGGGTCCCGGGGGGGGTCCCGGGCCGGGGGGTGTCCCGGGGGGGGTGGGGGGGCAGATTCGTTTTCCCTCGGGCGGCCTAGAAACCTCGAAAACACTCCAAATGAGGTCCGAATGCCCAAGATGGCCCCCGAGACGGCCCAAGAGGGCCCCGAGTCGCCCAAAGATCGGCCGAAAACGCCCACGATAGCCCCAAGACCGTCCAAGAAGCCTCCAAGACGTCCCAGGCCCCCTCCAAGGGACCCCCAGGAAACCCCAAGAGGCCCCCACGAGGCTTCCAAGCGGCCCCTGAGAGCTTCCCAAGAGGCCCACAAACTACCCCCAAGAGGCCCCCAAGAGCGCTCGTCGTCGTCGTCGTCGTCGTCGTCGTCGTCGCCGTCGCCATTCAGGGTCGGCGGCACCGGCCGTAAGGCCTTCGCAATACGATTTACCGAAGTGTCTTGGGGGCCCGCAGGGAGCTTCCCTGGGGGCCTCTTGGGGGCCTATTGGAACTTCTGGGGGGCCTCTTGGGAGCCTCACGGGGCTTCTTGGGAGCCTTTTGATGGCCTGTCCTAGGAGCCTCTCAGGCCAGAGACCTTGAAATGTCGCGCTATTCGGGCCCTTTGGGTCGCTCTTGGGGCTCTCTTGGGGCGCTCTCGAGGCCCTCTTGACTCATCTGGGGAACGTCCTGGGCCGTCTCTGGGCTTTCTTGGGAGCCTCTTCGGCCGTCTTGGAGCGATCTGAAGAGCCTCTGACGCGGTCCGGGACCGAGGGGAGGCGGAACATGGGAGAGCGCAAGAATGCTTCAATCATTTCCGGCTTCTGGGGCCCTTTGGAAGGGCCTCTGGAGGCGCTCTTGGTTCGTTTTGGCGGCGTCGTGGGCCGTCCTGAGGTCATCTTCGGCATGTCCGGGGCCTCTGGGTGCTGTCTTTAGGCCTCCTGGGAACCCGGAAATCATGCTCCCAGAGAGGCTTCTGGGAACATGATTTCGAACGGGGCCCTCTTGGGCCTCCTTGAGGCCGTCTTGGGGGCCTCCTGGGCCGGCTTTGGGGCCTCCTGAGCCGTCTTGGGGCGGCTCCGTCAGCCACAAAGGACGACCCTTTTTGTTGGGGGGGGCCGAGCTAGGGCGGTTCCGAATACTGCTCGCGCGTCTTCCGAACCGTCGTCGTTCTCCCGCTACAGGCCGTAGCTCGGAAGAAAGATGCACCTCGCGAAGGAACGAAAGAGGTTTTGGTGGGGGAGGTGCACCAGCAAGAGTCCAGAGCCTTTGTGGGCCCGGAGCTCTCTCGAGTGAGCCTGGGCTCGCAGCCTGCATGCTCGCCCAGGGAGGAAGGCGGCGCACGATGCTGCAGGGCTGGATCCACACGGCACGTGCGAAAAAAGTCGTAGACAGAGCACAGTCTCCCCTACACCGTTTTTGTCCGAGCCAGGGCGGCTCCAAAAACTCCTCGAGCGTCCTCCGAACCGTCGTCGTTCTCCGGCTATAGCACCATCGTTCCTCGCCACGCTCCGGCTCACGCACACAAGGCGCAGCAGTTCAGTCGCCGCTGGAGAGACGCATTTCCCCGAGCTCTCGAGGGAGAGCGCGGGCTCGCAGCTTGCATGCTTGCCCAGGGGGGGAAAGGCGGCGCACGATCGATGCTGCAGGGCCAGATCCACCAGGCACCCGCGAGAAAAAACACAGGCAGAGCACAGTATCCCCAACACCGGCTTTCCCAACCATCCTATGGTGTTGGGCCCTCGTTTGAAGAGACAGCGCCCCTCGTCTCACTCACTCCTTCCTCCTCCCCCTCCTCCCTTCTCGTGCAATGCCCGTCCCTAGACTTTACGCCCCCCACCGTCGCCTCCGATCTCCCACCGCCAGGGGGGGCCGCCGCAGTGGGCCGCCCGGGCGACCGCGTCGCAGGCGATAGCACAGTTCACTCGCCGCAGGAAAGACCGATTCCCCCGAGCCCTCCAGAGAGAGGGCCACGGGCGCGGCTCCCCGAGCGTCCGCGACGGGCGAGCAGGTTCCCCGAGCGCCTCGGCTGGCGCACTCGACGCCCAGGGAGCACGGACACGGTGCTGCAGGCGAGGGAACTCCTTTCGACGGAGCCCCCTCTCCCTCCCTCCCTCCCTCTCTCCCTCCGTCTCTCTACACGTATATAAAATGAAATGCCAGACCCGTATCCCGCGCAGCCAGCGCCGCCGCGAGCAGAACAGTGGCGGCCTCGGAAGCGAAGAGCAAAAGAGCAGTTCCTCCTCATCCACCTCCTCCTCCATCCCGCCCCCTCCTCCTCTCCTGGAGAAAGACCACATCCGACCCCAGGGTCCCGAGAATCTCATGGGCCGACTTAAAACACGAGCCATTTCCAGTGCAAAAAGACAGTGTGAGACGCGGCGCAGGCAAGCCAGGTGGCTCAGGCTGCGCCGAGAGTGTGCTACCCCCGCTCTGGGGGCTCAGCAGGCGCGCCACCGCGCCTAGGAGAGCGACTGCCATCCTTCGTCTTGCCAGGCTCCTGAGCAGCAGCAGGCTGGGCGGGGCTCGCGGGCGCTCCAGCTGTCTTCGCAGCCGAAGCAACTGTCCTCCTCCCCCTCCACCTCCTCCTCTCATCCTCCTCCTCCACCTCCACAGCATGCGTGCAGAAAAAAACGGAGCCGAGGATCCCGCTGTCCACCAGCCCCCAGTCACCCCGCGAGCGCTCCAGGGGATCTCGCGCTCCACTTGTAGCGAACTCGAAGCTGTGCAGGCACGAGCATTGGCCCGCGGCGCGCTAGAAGGAGCAGCTCAGAGACTCTGCTCAGGTTCGAGATGCACGCATGTAGCCTCACGAATGAGATGTACGAAACGACTTCTCACCAACTGGAGTCACAGCGCGATCTATATACATATCTGTGCGCCGTGGCGGCGGCTGGGAGGTGACACCGTAGTGCCCCTACAGTCGGCGACAGCCCTGCTGTGGTCTCAGCGAGGCTTCGTCGCAACGGTGGCGACAGAACCTGGGGGTTCCAGCACGGATGCATGCGGCTCTGGCTCGAAGCCCCTAAGGACGAAAGGCAAGAAATCTGGATTCTTGACGCGCGTCACCCGCGCGCCGGTCCACTTGCGCAGATTAGCTTCAAGGCCCTGGTGAGCAGCGACAGAGACGTTCAGAGGGACTACTTGGCCAGTCTCGTCCTCCATGCCGAGACGCCTGGAGCGGTGCCACGCGGCCGCAAAAGCCGTGGCCGCCTCAGGAGTTCTGAAATTGATGAAGCCGTTGCCTTTTCCGGAACCGTCCTCATAATTCCTTGGGATGTATGCGAAGTCGTATTTCTCCGCGAAGCCACTGCGGTTGACCTCGTCAAGGAACTTCTGCTGAGTGGAGCGGACGTGCAGGTTGCGCACCACCAAAGTTGTGATCCTGGGCGGGTTAGCGCGCCGATCCTTCTGGTACGTCTTCCACTCGAGGGCAGCCTCCTCGGCCCTGGGCCTGGCCACCGCAACGCTGGTGGCATTCGCGGGAGCGGCCACAGTCTCCGTGTAGAGGCCGTGGACGCCCGGCGGCGGCGCCCCGCCCGCCGCAGCGGCCGCCGCCGGGAGGGAGTGGATGCCCAGGGGCCGCCGCAACACCATCCCCGGCGGCGCCGCCTTGCGGGCCGCCGCCGGCCCGGCCTCGCGGGGGCGCGTCCCCAGGATGGCCCAGGCCGGGGCGCAGGGGCCCGGCAGCGCCGCGGGCTCCCAGGCGGCGGGGGCGCGGGCGGGGCGGCCCGCGCGCGGCCTCGGCGCCCGCACGGGCCAGAGCTCCCACGCGGCCTTCATCTCCGGCTCGCCCTCGCCCTCGTCGTCCGTGGGGGGGTAGATGGGGATCTTCGCAGGGAAGCCTTCGTCCTCGCTGTCGCTGTGCCCATCCTCCTCGCCACCGCTCAGCAGCTCGGGCGGCGCCGCGTTGCCTCGGTGGCGCATGCCCCTGGCACACCGCACGGGGCCCCACGGGCCGCCCATCGGCGACGGCGGGGCGCCCCAGCACCCGGGCGCGGTTCCCGCCGCGGAGCTCGGGGCCCACCGCCCCGGCGGCTCCGCCGGTGGCGCGCCCCAGGCCATCGAGTCGTAGCTGATCCTCTCGGACGCGTCCGACCGGAAGGTGAACCTCTCGGGCGCCGCGCCTCATAGGTCGGTCAGCGGCAGGGCGGTGGGCCTCTCGGACTCGCAGAGCGCCGAGGAGGGGAACTAGTACTCCGGGCTGCGCGGAAGCCCTGGCTTCCCGGCGCCACAGGGCGCCTGGAATCCCGGGTGCGTGTTCGTGCCGGCGACGCGGCACCACGCGCGAGGGTCGGCGGCGGCACGGGCCGCGGCCATCACTGAAGGGGTCCTGAGTGTGGGCGGGAGTGTGCCGGGCAGGGCAGCGCCACGGAGTCCTCGGGGACTCCCTGGAGCGTTCAAGTCGAAGGGATGCCCTGAGCCTGGAGCCAGGCACGAGCAAAGACGGCTTGAGCCAAAATGGCTACGGAGCCAAAATGGCTACGGAGCCAAAATGGCTACGGAAGCCAAAATGGCTACGGAGCCAAAATGGCTACGGAGCCAAAATGGGGCTGTCTTGTGCCCCTTTGGGTCTCTCTTGGGGCTCCTCGGGGGCGTCTGGGGCACTGCGAAGACGAAGCAAAGGAGTATGCTGAAAATGTACGGTTTACAACGGGGACGGGCTGATTTTTGCCTCTTGAAGGCCCTCTTGGTCCTCTTCGGCCATCTTCAAGCCATCTCGGGCCCTCTGGGGCCTCGCTGAGGCTGTCCTGGGGCCCACTAGGGGGCCCTGGGAACCCGGAAATCATGTTCCCGGAGAGGCTTCCTGGAACATGATTTCGAACGGGGCCCTCTTGGGCCTCCCTGAGGCCGTCTTGGGGGCCTTCTGGACCGGCCTCGGGGCCTCTTGGGCCGTCTTGGGGGGTTCCGTGAGCCCTTTTTTTGGGCCGTCTTGGGCCCTCTTGGGTCTCTCTTGGGCTGTCTTGGGGCTTGTGAAGACGAAGCCAGCGAGTATTCTGAAAACGTACGTTTTACGAAGGAAATGGGCCGATGCTTGCCTCTTGAAGGCCCTGTCGGGGCCCTCTTCGGCCATCTTCAAGCCGCCATCTCGGGCCCTCTGGGGCCTCGCTGAGGCTGTCCTGGGGCCCAGTATGGGGGCCCTGGGAGCCCGGAAATTATGTTTCCCGAGAGGCTGCCGGGAACATGATTTCGAACGAGGCCCTCCTGGGCCTCCCTGAGGCCGTCTTGGGGGCCTCCTGGGCCGGCTTCGGGGCCTCTGAGGCCGTCTTGGGGAGCTCCGTGAGCCCCACATGCCGACCCTTTTGGGCCGTCTGGGGCCCTCTTGGGTCTCTCTTGGGCTGTCTTGGGGCTCCGCGAGCATGCTGAAAATGTACGTTTTACGATGGAAATGGGCCGATGTTTGCCTCTTGAAGGCCCTCTCGGGGCCCTCTTCGGCCATCTTCAAGCCATCTCGGGCCCTCTGGGGCCTCACTGAGGCTGTCTCGTGGGCCTCTTGGGCGTCCTCGGAACCCGGAAATCATGTTCCCGGAGAGGCTTCCGGGAACATGATTTCGAACGAGGCCCTCCTGGGCCTCCCTGAGGCCGTCTTGGGGGCCTCCTGGGCCGGCTTTGTGGCTTCTTGGGCCGTCTCGGGTGGTTCCCTGACCCCGACAGGACGACCCTTTTGGGCCGTCTGGGGCCCTCTTTGGGCACTGCGAAGACGAAGCCAGCGAGCATGCCGAAAATTCACGTTTTACGGACGAAATGTGCCGATGTTTGCCTCTTGAAGGCCCTCTTGGGGCCCTCACGGGCCCTCTTGGGGCGCTCTTGGGCGTCTTCGGGGCCTCTTCAGGCTTTCTTGACCATCTGTACGGCCCGCGTGGCCTGTCGTGGGCAATTTAGAAGCGGCCCGGGGCAGTCCCCCGGGGTCTGTGACCCCCCACAGGTTCGGGGGGGCGGCCATGGGGGATGACGGCACCGATTTTGCCCCCCCCCCCCCCCCCCCCCCCCCCCCCCCCCCCCCCCCCCCGGGCCGACTTATATATATATATATATATATATATATATATATACACACACACACACATACGCACACACATAAGTCGAGCTGGTCGGCCCTGGAGGTCAAAGGGACACCCAATTTATGATGACTGCACCTTCTATACCCAACTGGCTCCCAGACACGCGCCGACGAGACGCAAAAGACGAACCGAGAGGCCATTTGCGGCCTGGGGCGAAGAGCTACTCCCATTGAGCGCACACTCGCCTGCGACGACCACTGGTGCCAAATTTCGAAGAAGAGGTCCCACCACGCGAACAGCAAATCCGCCGATCCGGCGTGTGAGTTTGAAAAAGCCTCACCTACAGCCTACAGCCTACAGCCTGAGCTTCAGCTCTGCTGGGGGGTGGCCGGAGTGGCTCTGCCCGGGAAAGGGGGGGGGACGAGTTGTGCTCCGTTTTTCAAGGGGGGGCTCCTAGGGCTTGTCGCGGCTACCCGCGTGTCTCTGGGGAGGGCATTTTTTGACACCGCTCACGAGGATCGTGGCCTCCGAGGGGGTCCCGAACTCGAGTACCCCCCCCTCCCGCCCCAAGAAGCTCCCAAGAGGCCTCCAAAAGGCCCCGAGCAGCTCCCAAGAGGCCCCCAAAAAGCTCCAAGAGGCCCCAACGAGGCCCCCAAGAGGCCCCGAAAAGGCCCCAAGAAGCCCCGCCGCAACTGCCCAAGAGGACCCGGAGGGCCTCAAAACTACCTCCCAGAGGCCTCGAAGAGGCCAACCACGAGATCCCAACCAACATCAATCAGGCCTCTGACCCACCACCCAGACGGTGGCGGGATAATTAGGCCGCAAGCCACTGGATCCGCCGCCCCCTGTCGATTCATTGCAGGGGTGTGCTGGATCCTTTCGGTTTTGGTTTTGGTTCTTTTTCCAAAAGAACTCCCCCTGGGGTTTCGGCCCGTCCCGCCGGGGTCCCGGGAGGCTCTTCCAGGAGCGCAAGCTCCACGAAACATCCTCCCTGAAACGGCCGTTTCGCTCGGAACATCCTCAACAAATCGCGAAGATGGCCCAAGATGGCCTCCAAGTCTGCCCAAGATGGTCCAAGACGGCCTCCAAGACGGCCCAAGAGAGTCCAAGACGGCCCAAGATGGCCCAAGAGGCCTCCCAGAGGCCTCCCAGACGGCCCGAGAGGCCTCCAAGAGGTCCTCCAGAAGGGCCCGAAGAGGCCGAAATCATTAATTTGTCTTAGGTGTTTGAAGATTTTGGGAATTTGCTTCTTCTCGGCATTCCGACTGCTCAAGACGGCCCAAGAGGCCCCCAAGATCGCCTAAGAGGCCCTCAAGAGGGCCCCATGACGCCCCAAGTGGCCTCCAAGATGGCACCAAGAGGGCCCCAAGACGGCCCAAGAGGCCTCCAACACGCCCAAGATGGCCTCCAAGACGCCCAAGATTGCTTCCAAGACGGCCCCGAAGCGCCCCAAGAGGATCCCCCATTGGCCCAGACAGGCCCCCAAGACGGCTCCCGACGGCGTCAGACGTGCCAAGAACCCACCAAGATGGCCGAAGTTGGCTCGAAGCTGGCCCAAGACGGCCCAAGAGGCCCCCAAGAGGGCCTCCAGAAGGCCAGAATAAGCCAAAATCATTGATTTTCCTTAGGTTTTTGACGGATTTTACATTTCCTTCTTTTCGGCCTTCCGACGGCCCGAGACGGCCCAAGAGCCCCCACAGATCGCCGAAATATCGCCGAAGAGACCTCCAAGACGGCCAAGATGACGTTCAAGATGCCCACGTGCTCCCCGACGGCTTTCCAAACCGATTCGGGGAACGCATGGTCCGATGGCTTGGCAGGTCTGGCCTCAACGTTGGCCACATAGGTACTACCAAAAAAGGCAAGGGGCGGCGGTGATTCGCCGTAGGCATCTTCGATCCGCCGCCCCCTGTCGATTCATCGCTGGGGTGCCTGGCGTGCTGGATCCTTTCGGTTTTGGTTTTGGTTCTTTTTCCCAAAGAACTCCCCCTGGCGCTTCGGCCCGTCCCGCCAGGGTCCCAGGAGGCTCTTCCAGGACGCAAACTTCACGAACAATCCACCCTGAAACGGTCGTTTCGCTCGGGGCATCCTCAACAAATCGCGAAGATGGCCCAAGATGGCCTGCAAGTCCGCCCAAGATGGTCCAAGACGGCACCCAAGACGGCTCAAGAGAGTCCACCCAAGAGGCCCCCCCATAGGCTTTCTAGACGGCCCCAGAGGCCTCCAAGAGGTCCTCCAGGAGGGCCCGAAGAGGCCGAAATCATTGATTTGCCTTAGGTGCCGGAAAGATTTGGGAATGTGCTTCTTCTCGGCATTCCGACTGCTCAAGACGGCCCAAGAGGCCCCCAAGATCGCCCAAGAGGCCCCCAAGAGGGCCCCATGACGGCCCAAGTGGCCTCCAAGACGGCCCCAAGGGGGCCCAAGAGACCTCCAACACGCCCAAGACGGCCTCCAAGACGCCCAAGATGGCCTCCATGACGGCTCCGAAGCGCCCAAAGAGGGCCCCCAGTCGGCCCAGAAACAACCCCTCAAACGGCTCCCGACGGCGCCAGACGTGCCAGGAACCCACCAAGATAGCTGAAGTTGGCTCGAAGCTGGCCCAAGACGGCCCAAGAGGCCCCCAAGAGGGCCTCCAGGAAGGCCAGACAAAAGGCAAACAACCTTGATTGTCCTAAGGTGTTCGAAGGATGTTGGCATTTCCTCCTGAGCAACGGTCCCTCTTTTTGCGGAGACTGAATCTAGCGAAGCTCCGGACTCGTCTTGGCCAGAGGCTTCGGGAGCTTCAAGGCATGCCTTAAAACTCCTTCTCCCCCAAGGTTTGTGGGGGGTAGGACGCCGACAAACAACTAGAGCGGAAATGGCAGCAGGGGAAAGAACGACTGGGCGTTTCCATTTGTCTCGCTGATGCATCTGGAAACAGAGACATCACACGAGGCGGCCCCTCTGCTCAACCCCTTCTAAAACCTCCACAGCAACGGTCCCTCATTTGCGGAGACTGAATCTAGCGAAACTCTGGACTCGCCTTGGCCAGAAACTTCGGGAGCTTAAAGGCATGCCTTAAAATTCTTTCCCCCAACTCATCCCGAAACGATCCACGCTTGATGTTCTCTAGGGTGGGAAGGAAAAGGGCGGGAATGACTTGCCTGATTCTCAGGTGCGCTGGCAAGGAGAAAAGGAGACCATTGTTTGCGCCAGCTGTGGATGCTATTCAGAGGCGATGCGAGTGCGGCGAAGACCTCCGGGCCCTCCTCCGCTGAAGTGCCAGTGGGGGCGCCTGGTCTTACAGCAAATACAACCCTTTGGCCTGCATCGAACGGTGAGTTTCTTTAGGTCCTCGTGGTTAACGTGGGCACGGAGGAGTCGCGTGGCCTTCTTCCATGTAGCGCCATACTGACATTGGCCAAATTCGACATCTGAGACATGTGTCCGATGAGACAAATCGCAAACCTCTGAACCATCGTGAGCCGTCTCTGGACCATCTTGAGCCGTCATGAAGCCGTCTTGGGCCGTAGGCCGCAGGTGCAAAGACCCGCGCAATGCGCAAAGCCTGCGCTCCCAACAGGGACGCGTAATCCTTGTTCGGATGTCCTCAGCGATCGCACGCGTGTCAACTAATACCCGATCACATGGTACAGTGCAGGCTTGGCGCATTGCGCGGGTCTTTGCACCTGCGGCCCACGGCCCAAGACGGCCTCAAGACGGCTCAATATGGCTCAACCTTTAGATCGGTACTGTTTTGGACATAGTTGACAACCTTTTGAATATATATATGTTCAGTAGGTACTGTTTTTGATATATGTTCGATGGGTGCTATTTGTTGGACCTATTCAAAATCAATCGTATTTGTTGGACATATTTTTGCATTCGCCCAAGAAATTGACAATATTTTCCACATAACATAACAATTTGAATCGGTACCACTTTTGGACCTATTTTCAATATGTATTATTTGTTGGACATATGTTTCGAAACTCTTATTTTTGGACATATGAAACCTCGGAGCAGGGAGCGCGGCGGGCCCACGTCGGCAGGCCCCGCCACCAAGCCAGTTGAGAGAGTCGATTGCGCCGTTCGCCAAATCGTGCTCGCGCCGCCGCCTCGCCCCAGCGATTCGGGCGCGGCTGCCGCCCTTGCTGACAGGCGGCGAGGCCAGGCGAGGGAGCGGAAAGAGATCCCTATTCCTGCTCGCCATGGCCAGAGGCGCTCGCCGAGCCGAAGTAGTAGTTAATCCAGCCGGCATGGGCCCACTGTGCCGGCTGGGTCGCGTCCATCATGATTGCACGGGCGGCGCGAGGGCCTGCGATTTACCCCGACTGCCCCCGCCGCCGCCCCGGCCACCGCCCTCGCCCCCGTCGTCGGGAGCCTCGCGCTGCGGCGCTCGAGAGGAAGAGGCCCGAGCTGCGACAGCCTCAGGCTTCTTGTCCCCCTGCACAAGCTCATACTCCTCGTCGGTCCTCCTCGACGCGTTGGAGCGCAGGCCAGGAGCCATCAGCTGGTCCACCTCTGTCAACGGCGAGAGGTACTTCGCGTTCGAGCATGAGGCCGTTCCGCTCGTCTTGCGCGCATCCACCAGCAGATTCAAGCGAAGGGCCGCCACCTCCAAGCAAGCCAATCCTCCGAGATTGAGCTGGTAAAAATCTCCGGCCTCTTCCAGGATATCGCTCAAGACTCTGATCTCGCGTGCAACTCTATCCGGTGAAGATATGCCCTTCTCTCTCAAGGAGCGTTCCAACCATGCTCGTGGGGAGCCGCTCAGAGCCATCATGATCTTGCAGGTGTGTAGGCACGTACGATCAGCTGGCAGCCGGCGATGGTCCTGCGCTACGTTCGAGCTCTCGGCCACCGCTCGCCTGAAGTTCTTCCTGCGCTCGCCCTGCTCATCCCAATAGCACCTCATTGCTGGGGTCGTCGGGCACAGGGTCCCTGCCGATGTCCGAAACCCGAGTGGGCCCAAGCTTGGCGCCCAGGCGGTCTCGGTCGGGAAGCCGATCCGCAGGCGCCGCCAGGGGAGGGGTGTCTGTTGCGCCAACGGCCTCTGCCGCTCCAGCAGAATCGGGCATCGCGACCAGAGCGCCCCGCAACTCCTCCGCCCGACTGGACGCCCACTCGACGATGCCGCCCTCGTCCACCTGCTCGAGCCGAACCCATCGGCTGCAGCTGGCAAGGCGTCCCAGGGCATGGCCTCCGTCTCGCAGCACGCCCTCTGGCAGCGGGTCCACGACAGTGCCGATCGGCATGCCGGGCAGGGGCTCCGCCACTCGGCAGCACGGTCCAGGATCTCGTCCAGGCTCGGACGCTGGCGAAACCCATACATATACAGGCGACGGTCGTCTGGGACCTCTCCCGTCACCTGGTTCAGGATAGATCCTCCAGAGGGCCCCGTGGCAGGGTTCTTCCCGCTCAGCTCCTCCTCCCAGACGTCACCGTCGGCGGACTGAACCCAATGCGAGAACTTCCCCCGCGTGCGACCTCGCTGGTCCAGACGCCACCTGGGCCACAACACGACCCTCATGTGGTCCATGGCCTCCCCGGCATAGTTAGGAGACGCGGACCAGGGTGCCGACCGCGAGGTCAGCGCACCACGCCTCCTCCGCGGCAAGCGGGGGCAGGTGACGCCGATCGACCATCATCTTCGCGACGAGCCTGGCGCCAGCAGCCCTGCAGCGCACGGATCAGCTCAACCAGCACCGCCACCAACACGCCCGGCAACGCGGCCGCGATCTCCGCCCCAGGGTCCTCTGCGACACCCTTCTCCTCCACTCGCACCGGGCACCCCGGCTGCACGACAGGGCAAGGAGCCGCCGCCACCTCGGGGCAAGGCTGGCACGTCTCGCCTGGGTCGGGCGGCAGCTACGCCGGCGGGCACACGGCCTGCAAGGAGCAAGGAGGCAGCCCCGGCTCCAATGGCGGGTGCAGGCCCCCTGAGAGCAGCGCGATCAGGTTGGCCAGCCCCAGGGCCACTACCGCGAGGTGGCCAGGGAGCGCAGTCATCTCAGACCGACAAACAACTAGAGCGGAAATGGCAGCAGGGGAAAGAAAGACTGGGTGCTTCCAGTCGTCTCGCTGTTACATCTGGAAACAGAGACATCACACAAGGCGGCCCCTCTGCTCAACCCGTTCTGAAACCTCCATTTCGGCCTTCCGACGGCCCGAGACGGCCCAAGAGCCCCCAAAGATCGCCGAAAAATCGCCCAAAAGGCCTCCAAGATGACCCCAGAACGGCCCAACAAGGCCTGAAGACGGCACCAAGAGGCCCCAAGACGGCATAGGAGGCCTTTAAAACGCTCAAGATGGCCTCCAAGACGGCCCTGGAGCAGTCCAAGAAGGCCCCAAGTTGGCCCAGAGAGGCCCCCCAAACTGCTTCCGACGGCGTCAGACGGACCAGGAGCCCACCAAGACGGCCGAACATGGCCCTAAGATGGCCCCAGACGGCCCAAGAGGCCTCCAAGAGGGCCCCCAGGAAGGCCCGGAAAGGCCACAATCATTGATTTCCCATGGGTTTTTGAAGGATTGTGGCATTTGCTTTTTGTTCTGCCTTCTGACGGCCCGAGACGGCCCAAGTGCCCCCAAAGATCGCCCAAGAGGCCCAAGACACGGCCCCAAGAGGCCCCCAAGACGGCCCGAGAGGTCTCCAAGACGCTCAAGATGGCCTCCAAGACGGTCCAAGAGCCCTCCAAGACGTCCTCCAAGAAGGCCCGAAAGGGTCAAAATGGCCTCCAGACGGCCAAGATGACCTTCAAGATGCCCACGTGTTCCCCGAAGGCTTTCCAAACCGATTCGGGGAACACATGTCCGATAGCTTGGCAGGTCTGGCCTCAACGTTCGGCCACATAGGCGCTTCCAAAAAGGCAGGGGGCGGCGGTGATTCGCCGCAGGCGTCTTCGATCCGCCGCCCCGTCGATTCATCGCAGGGGTGCCTGGCGTGCTGGACCCTTTCGGTTTTGGTTTTGGTTCTTTTTCCAAAAGAACTCCCCCTAGCGCTTCGGCCCGTCCCGCTGGGGTCCCGGGAGGATCGCCCAGGACCCCAACGTCCACAACAAATCCTCCAAGACGGCTCAAGATGGCGTCCAAGATGGCCAAGATGGCCTCCAAGATGATTCTAGACGGTTCTAGATGGCCTCCCTGACGGCCCAAGAGCGTCCAAGATACCTCCAAGTTCGCCCAAGAAGCCTCCAAGACGGCCTCAGAGACCCTCACGAGGTCTTCCAGGAGGGCTCGAAGAGGCCAAAATCGTTGATTTGCCTTATGGTTTTTGAAAGATTTGGGCATTTGCTTGTTATCGGCATTCCGACGGCTCAAGACGGCCCAAGAGGCACCCAAGATCGCCTCAAGATCGCCCACGAGGCCTGCAAGATGGCCCCATGACGGCCCCAGAGACCCCCAAGACGGCCCCAAGAGAGCACGAAGAGGCCTCCAAGACGGCCCAGATGGCCTCCAAGACGGCTAAGATGGCCCAAAGATGCCCTAAGACTGCCCCAGATGCACCAACGACGGCATAAGACGGCCTCAATATGGCCCAAGACTCAGACGGCCAAAGAGGACCCCAAGATCGCCTCAAGATCGCCCACGAGGCCTCGACGGCCCGTAAGGTCCCCAAGACGGCCCCAAGAGGGCCCCAAGAAGCCTCCACCACGGCCAAGATGGCCTCCAATACGGCTAAGATGGCCCCAAGATGCCTCTAAGACGGCCCAAGATGCACCCACGACGGCCTAAGATGGCCTCAAGATGGCCCAAGACGGGCCACGAGGCCCCCAAGAGGCCTCCTAAACGGCCCAAGAGGCCTCCAAGAGATCCTCCAGGAACGCCGAAGAGGCACAACTCAGTGATTTTCATTAAGTTTTGGACAGATTTTGGCATTTGCTTCTTCTCGGCATTCCGACGGCTCAAGACGGCCCAAGAGGCACCGGAGATCGCCCCAGGATCGCGCACGAGGCCTCCAAGATGGCCCCAAGACGGCGCAAAAGGCTCCCAAGACGACCCCAAGAGGGCCCCAAGACGGCTCAAGAGGCCTCCAAGACGCCCCAAATGGCCTCTATCCGCCGCCCCCTGTTGCTTGCAAGAGGGGTGCCTGACGTGACAAATCCTCTCGGTCTTGGTTTTGGTTCTTCTTCCAAAAGAACCCCCCTGGAGCGTCGGCCCGTCCCGCCTGCCACCCGGAAGGACCACAATTTTACAAATTGTTCGTTCAAGATGGCCCAAGACGGTCTCCAAGATAGTCACGTTGGCCCAAGATGGCCTCCAAGATGGCCTCCAAGTCCGCCCAAGATTGTCCAAGACGGCCTCCCATATGGCCCAAGGGAGTCCAAGAAGGCCGAAGAAGGCCCCAGAGGCCTCCCAGAGGCCTCCAAGACGGCCCAAGAGGCCTCCAAGAGGTACTCCAGGAGGGCCCGAAGAGGCCAAAATCATTGATTTTCGTTAGGTATTTGGAGGATATTCGATTTCGCTGCCTCTCCGCTTTCCGACGACCCAAGGCAGCCCACGAGGCCCCCCAAGGTCGCCCCCACAGCGCCCAAGAGGCCTCCAAGATGGCCTCAGGACTGTCCAAGAGGCCCCCAAGACGGCCCAAAGAGGGCACAAAGACGACCAAAGAGGCCTCCAAGACGCCCAAGATGGCCTCCGAGACGGCCCTGGAGCACCCCAAGAGGGCCCCAAGTCGGCCCAGAAAGGTCCCCCCAAACAGCTTCCGACGGCGTCAGACGGGCCAGGAGCCCACCAAGATAGCCGAAGTTGGCTCGCAGCTGGCCCAAGACGGCCGAAGAGGCCTCCAAGAGGGCCTCTAGGAAGACCAGAAAAGGCCAAAAACACTGATTGTCCTTAGGTGTTCGAAGGATTTTGGCATCTGTTTCGTTTCGGCCTTCTGACGGCCCGATACGGCCCAAGAGCCCCCAAAGATCGCCCAAGGATCGCCCAAGAGGCCTCCAAGATGGCCCCAGAACGGCCCAAGAGGCTCCCAAGACGGCCCCAAGGGGCCCCCACCACGGCTTTGAAGAAGCTCAAGATGACCTCCAAGACGGCCCTGGAGCATTCCAAGAGGGCCCCAGTCGGCTCTGAGAGGCTCCCCAAACGGCTTCCGACGGCGTCGGACGGGCCAGGGGCCCACAAAGACGGCCGAAGATGCCACTAAGATGGCCCACGACGGCCCAAGAGGCCTCCAAGAGGGCCTCCAGGAAGGCCCGACACAGGCCAAAATCATTGATTTCCCGTGAGTGTTTGAAGGAGTGTGGCATTTGCTTTCTGTCGACCTTCCGACGGCCCGAGACGGCCCAAGTGCCCCCAAAGATCGCCCAAGAGGCCCAAGACACGGCCCCAAGAGGCCCCCAAGACGGCCGAAGAGGCCTGCAAGACGCTCAAGATGGCCTCCAAGACGGCCCAAGAGCCCTCCAAGACGTCCTCCAAGAAGGCCCGAAAGGGTCAAAATGGCCTTCAGGCGGCCAAGATGACCTTCAAGATGCCCACGTGTTCCCCAAATGCTTTCCAATCCGATACGGGGAACACATGGTCCGATAGCTTGGCAGGTCTGGCCTCAACGTTCGGCCACACAGGCGCTTCCACAAAGGCAGGGGGCGGCGGTGATTCGCCGCAGGCGTCTTCGATGATTCTACACGGTTCTAGATGGCCTCCCTGACGGCCTAAGAGCGTCCAAGATACCTCCAAGTCGGCCCAAGACAGCCTCAGAGGCCCTCAAGAGATCTTCCAGGAGGTCTCGAGGAGGCCGAAATCGTTGATTTCCCTTATGGTTTTGAAAGATTTGGACATTTGTTTCTTCTCGGCATTCCGACGGCTCAAGACGGCCCAAGAGGACCCCAAGATCGCCTCAAGATCGCCCACGAGGCCTCCAAGATGGCCCCATGACGGCCCCAGAGACCCCCAAGACGGCCCCAAGAAAGCTCGAAGAGGCCTCAAAGACGGCTCAGATGGCCTCCAAGACGGCTAAGATGCCCCCCAGATGCCCTAAGACGGCCCAAGATGCACCCACGACGGCCTAAGACGGCCTCAAGATGGCCCAAGACGGCGCTGGAGGTCCCCCAGAGGCTCTCGAGACGGCCCAAGAGGCCTCCAGGAGGTCCTCCAGGAGGGCCCGCAGAGGCCAAAATCATTGATACTCGCTATGTTTTTTGAAAGATTTGGGCATGTGCTTCTTTTCGGCACCCCAACCGGTTTCAGACGGCCCAAGAGGACCCGAGATCGCCTCAAGATCGCCCACGAGGCCTCCAAGATGGCCCCCACTACGGCCAAGATGGCCTCCAATACGGCTACGATGGCCCCAAGATGCCTCCAAGACGGCCCAAGATGCACCCAAGACGGCCTAAGATGGCCTCAAGATGGCCCAAGACGGGCCACGAGGCCCCCAAGAGGCCTTCTAGACGGCGACGGCCCAAGAGGCCTCCAAGAGTTCCTCCAGGAACGCCGAAGAGGCCTAAATCAATGATTGTCAATAAGTTTTGGACAGATTTTGGCATTTGCTTCTTCTCGGCATTCCGACGGCTCAGGACGGCCAAAAAGCTCCCCAAGATCGCCCACGAGGCCTCCAAGATGGCCCCATGACGGCCCAAAAGGCCCCCAAGACGGCCCAAGTGGCCTCCAAGACGCCCAAGATGGCTTCTAAAACGGCCCTGAAATGCTCCAAGAGGGCTCCAAGACGGCCCAGACAGGCCCCCAAGACGGCTTCCTACGGCGTCAGACGAACCAAGAACGCCCTTTGACGGCCAAAAAGGCCCCGAAGAAGCCCCCAAAGGCCTCCCAAAACCCTCCAAGAGGCCCCCAGAAAGCTCACAGGAGGCCCCAAGAGTGCCCCAAGAGGCCTCCTCCTCCTCCTCCTCCTTTTTCCTGATCC